TATGCTGGTATTTTGAATGTCTAATTTTTGAATTTCAGGACAAAGATCATTCAGGTTTCAAATTCTTTGTGCTTTCCTACAACTAAAGCTTGGGCTCTTGCTGATCCACTAGAGTGACTGTTCTCCCAGTATCAATACCTCTATGTGCTTTCTCAGCCTCAGCTGTGGGAATGGATATAGTAACCTAATCCTGATATCATGTTTGGGTGTTATAGCCCCAAGCCCGAATGATGGAGCTTCTCACTCAGCTCCAAGACATCAGAATAAAACTTGGGATAGCACTAAAACACTTCACACTAGTCAGTAACAAAGCCCCAAAGGTTAAGGCTTTAGGAATTTGAGCCATGGAAACACTACAGGTGTGACATAGGTGAGAGAAACTGTTGAGACAGGTGTTAGGAATCCTGAGACCACATTATAATTTCACTTTTGATATTTGAGGCTTTTAAAAGTATTGCTATAGGGCTGGGGATTTAGCTGAGTGGTTCTACCACCTGCCTTCAAGCACAAGGGCCAAGTTTGATCCCCAGTACCAAAATAAAAGTATTGCTATTTCCTCCTTAATAAATAATGCTGGAAAAACTGGCTTTCCACATGCTGAAGATTAACACTAGATGCCCTATCTTTCACGATGCACTAAACTCAAATCAAAATGGATCAAAGATCTAAATATTAAAACAGAAATAGTAAACCTGCTGAAATCTAGAATAGATTGGAGACAATGGTGTAGGCAAAGATTTTATGAACAAAACTCTGATCATACAGGAAATAGCATAAAAGAATCAACAATTGATATCTCATTAAAAAGCTTTTACACAGCAAAAGAAACCACCAGTAGAGTGAAAAGACAACCCACAGTATAGGAAATTTTTTTTGCCAGCTGCTCTTCAGACAAAGAACTAATATTTAGAATATGTAAAGAACTCAAAAGAATAAGACCTCCCCTCCAATTTTAGAGACCTAATCCAAAAATGGGCATCTGAAATGAATAGACATTTCTCAAATGAAGAAGTAGAAATGGCAAGTAAATATATGAAAAAGTGTTCAACATCACTGGTCATTTAAGAAATGCAAATTAAAATAATGCTGAGATTCCATCTCAATCCAGAAAGAATGGCTACTATCAAGAATTCAGGCAATAAAAAATGGTGGGGGGGCTAAGGGGAAAAAAAGAACCCTCCTCCACTGTTAGTGAGAGTGTAGACTGGTACAACCACTGTGGAAATCGGTGTAGAGATTCCTCAAAAAACTAAAACTAGAGATTCCATTCAACCTATCTCCTTCTTGGTATCTTCCTGAAGGAATTAAAAGCATCATACCACAGTGATATATGCACACCCATGTTTATAATAGCACAGTTTCTAATAACCAAATCTTGGAAACAGCCTAAATGCCCATTTACTGATAAATGGATAAAGAAGATGTGGGGTATTTTTATACAGTGGAGTACTGCTCTGCCATAAAGAAGGATAAGTTTGAGACATTTCTAGCTAAATGGATGCACCTTGAGAACATACTCTTAAAAATCAATTAGACACACGTTTAAATACTGCATTGTTTCTCTGATGTAAGAGACTGAAAGTGGAAATAAGGACCAAAATGTATGAGATATTAGGAAATGGTAAGAAAATGTTCAAATGAGAAAGGGAACAAGGGAGGGGAGAGGGAGAAAGGAAAGAAGGGACAAGAAAAAAAAGAATAGAAGGAAAAATGGAAATGAGGGGAAGAGGGGCCAAGGGGGGAAAAGAAGATATAAAGTACAGGTACAAAGATTTAGTTATTAGAAAGTAAAAAGCTTCGTAGCAAAAATAAATTAATGCACTCTATTATGTTAAAAATACTGCAAAAGTCCTGATGCCTTTATTCCTTCCTTGGCTTTGTATCTCACGCCATACACCCACATCCACACCTGTAATCAGGACCCCTACTTATCCCATCCTACAAGTTATTCTCAAACTGCCCTCCAGGTTCCTCACATGTTTGTGTAAAAATTAAAAGTAAACCTAACGTTAATAGAATGGTGGCCATGTAGTTTCCCCGCCCCCGTTATCTTTCCCTCCCCACTATAAATCTCAAAGAGCCACCTTTGATCCTAACTTCTTAGGAACTTGGGTTTTCCCACCGCCAGGCTCCTTTCCCGTACTCTGCAAGCTATTACGGCCATCTAGTGGCCATATGGGGAAATGACAGCGTTTGCTCTAACACTTTTCTGGTGAGAAAACTCTTAGGTATAGTAGTAGTAACTTTTAGTCTTGGCTCTGTATGTGGGAAACAGTGAAAGAAAAACCTGTACAGGAGGCTGCAGCAGAGGAGCCAAATGGCCTATGTCTTGGGCCCATCTCCTAGGACACACCATTCTACCCACTAGTTATTACAGACAGATGAATTGCTTGATATCCAAGTTCAATCAAAATTTATTGAGCAGCAGCTGTGTGCCCAGCAATGGGAATATATCAAAGAACAAGATGAACTCAATTTCTGCCCTTAAGAGCTTACAGTCTAGCATCCAACAAGCCAGTTACATCCAAAATTTTACAAAAGTAGTAAGAACTCTGAAAAATACATAGTGATGAAGACTTAACAGAAAGTCTTAACCTATCTTGCAAAATAAGAACGTCTTCCCTGAGGAAGAAACATTTAGGATCAGCTAGGTGGAAAGTGAAAGGAAGGGGGCACTGAAAAGAGAAAACAGTCTTTGTAAAGGTTTGGAAGCAAGAAGACAATGAAATGAGAGCCACTCAGGGTGTAGGGAAAAGTAAAAGTTATAAGATATGCAAAGTAGACAGGACCTGTTGTATGCAGGGTCTCTGAATTTAAAACTGTATTCCAGTAAGGGGAAAAAATGAGAATCAAGACTTGTCATGTAAAGGTACAAGATCCCAACAATGAATGTAACTGTACTGTATCCCTAAAATGTACCAATAAACTCAATTAAAGCTGAAAAAAATTTTAAAAAAAACTTTATTCCAAAAGCAAATGGGAGCCACTGAAGAAGTTGAAGGAAGTAAGATTTTTGATTTTTCAGAGCTCGATCTGCTGCAGTATATGGAGGGCATAAGTGGAAACAGGAGAGGTTAGGAAATTTCCTCAGCAGTTCAGACAACAAGTGATGATAAATCAGAAAAGAAGATGGATTCCAGAGTTAAGAGACAGTCTCTACTTGGTTTTTATTTTTGTTTTTGAGACAGTCGCACTATGTAGTTCATGCTGGCCTTGAACTATGTAACCCAGGCTGGCCTCAAACTCAGAGCCATCCTCCGGCCTCAGCCTCCTGAGTGCTGGGATTACAGGCATGTACCACCACACCTACGTTCTACTTAGGTATATGAAAAAAGGGATGTGTTTCTGGCAAGAGGTGCTAAAGTATGATACATACTACAGAAAAAGGACAAGTTTGGGCAAAATGAACACATCCTATAGGTATGGGCTCGAGGCTGGTATGAGAAGAACTGCACAGCTTTGGTTCTTAAAGATTAGGTTTTAGTTGAAGAAACAAGATACATATGAAGTTATTGCAAAATTTATTAAACACAGTGATTGACTCAGATAATTCATAGGTTCCTGCATTCTATGGGACTAAACAGAAGCCTTAAGCCTCAGTGAATTCAATTGCAGAAGTCAATGGGGATATGGTCACCTTTGGTCATGCTTCTCAGCCCTGCCCCTCAGAAAACTCCCATGCAATCCACCTAATATTTCACATGGATCACTTTTCCCTTGCAAAGGGGCCTAGGGTCGCTGACCAAAAAGATACCCTAAACTCTACTTAATTTTTGCCTGCTGCTGCCAGGAAGTTTATCTGTCTATTATTCTCAATTCATGTTCCTTGTTTAAGTTAAAGGGGGTCAAATCTAGCCACTGCCCCCCACTGTGGTTCTCTTTTGGTCATTAGGAAGGTTTTCTGTCTTACTTAGCTCCTCTCTACATGGCCCCTATCAAGCCCCTCTTTTGAAGTCACTATTTTACAAAAATCAACTCTATCTACTCTACCTTCTATAAATGGCAAGGTCCATTGGTGAAGAAAAGTACTTCCTTTTGCTCTCTCATCAAAGTGTTCCAGTTTATATGCCCTTCCCTCCTCTCTAGTTTTAACTTTGGTTAATAAATACCTATTTGCTTCAAAAGAGGCAGAAAAGGGCCAGGGATTTAATTGCCTCACAAGTGCAAGGTCCTCAGTTCAATCTCTGATACCCACCCCTCCAAAAAAGGCAATAAGAGGGCTGAGGATGTAGCTCAGTGGCACCATGCATGCCTGGCACGCACAAGGTCTTGAGTTTGATCCCCAGTACCAAAAAAAAAAAGAAAGAAAGAAAAAGAAAAGAAAAGAAATTTTGCTATGGGATTAACAGAGAAGTAGCCTAAATAGCTATTGCTTGGCTGATAGCCTTCCCTGCCTCCTCTTTGCCCTTGGAGTACTGTGCTAATTAACTCCAACATAAGTATGTATGGTGACACGATTGGCCTAAAATTTCTTGACTGTGCAATACACCTAGAACAAACCTACATCCCAAATACTTATTCTGAGAGCAGTGGTTACAAATGTTAGCATGAGGTTGGACACTGAGACAGTCTCTTTACACTGAAAATGAATGTGATCTTTGGAGCTGTGCAGACTTGGATTTGCATCATAGCTACTAACCAATTGCCATTGTGCTACTGAAACTTTCTAAGGTTCAAAAGATTTATCTGTGAAATAGGGCTAGTGTCATGTACCTTATGGAATAGTTGTAATAAAGAGGATGTGTGAATCTAGCATAATATCTACACTGAATTACCTGATAACATTTATTTTCTTGTGTCTCAGATGCCCAGTACTCTTCTAGAAGGGAGATAAACCAGTTCTGCATAGTCAACGATAATCACTTTCTACCCTTGTCTTTGTAAATCTCATATTCCCCAGCCATACTATTTCCATCATTGGCAAAAATGTTCTTCCATTCCCTTATCCCCAGGCAGGACTTTTCTCACTATTAAAAAGTTCTGACTTAGCTCCATCTGACTTTCCTCCTCTACATCCCCCTAATCCAAGATCCTATGTCTTCACGTGTCATTCTTAAAGTTTAATTCACTTCTAGCATTCTCCTAATATTCTCAGAGCAAATCATAAAGGAGCTGGGTAATAGGACTCTTACATTTTACAAGAGCAAAGGAACCAACCACAAGCCAGTTCAAGAGGGAAATGGAGGTCTAGGTCCAGGCACTCCACACCCTGACCTCTTCCTCAAAGCACAGAAAAAGGCAAACTCAAAATATGTCTTCAGTCTAGGAGAGCACATATCTTTCCTATAGCTCTGTGAGGTCATCATTGAAGTAGAGCAGTACTGCCGGTGTGTGGAGTGTACCATCCATATTAAGATAGTCAAACTCTTCCTCCTCATCCCGGATCCCATTTTCTTCCAGGGTACAATTCATGTTCAGGTTCTTCCCTTCATATTTCCATGTGTAGCTTGCAGCATGTGCATTATAGGGGAGATAGCGATGTAGAATTTCCCACATTGACTCCAGAGCACCCACCTGAAGAACACAGAAGCAACCTACCTCCAGAATTCTGGATGGAACACACACACACACAAACACACACACACACACACACACACACTTCATCCTTGCAACAGAGTAGACTAAAAGTCCAACTTCTATACAAAAGAACATGTAAGAGCTTCTAAGGATTACCATCACTAACAATGCTGCCCAGCACTTATGAATCTCTCGCACCACTGTGACCCAGGCAGTCCTAGAATTTCCAATCCCAGGGACCTAAGTAGTCTTTCTTCGGTCAATGTAAAAGAAGAAAATACAGACCCTACCCATTTTGAGAAACTGATGGTCTGGAGATCTCCTGGGCTTCCCAGTTCCCTCCACCTAACCTGTCCCCAGGCACCAAATCTCACCTCCAGTATGTGCTCCTGCGACGTAAGCGTGTTAACAATACAGATGTTTCGAGTCTTGGCAGACAACCGCCCCACCTCATATTGAGACCCCTTCCACCAGGGCTTCCCGAAATCATTAGCCCAATCAGAACGCGGCAGCTGAGGCGGGACGTGCACGAAGCGGCCCCGTGGAGTGCGGTACCTCAGGCAACCGGTTAGCGGATCTATGTGCTTGCGGATCTTTAAAACAGGGTTTGGGAATGGGAGTTGTCTGCGCAGTCACAATTTCAACGTTCTAGCTATTTCACTTTTCCTCCCCTTCCCCGCTCTCCCCCTAACCCAGATTCCAACGGAACTCACGTCTCTGGTTTTTGGATCAAACCAGTGGCTGATGTCCTGGCCTGCAACTTCCACTATGGGTTTCAGCAGCAGGTTCCCTAGGAAGGAGCAGCCGCCGTCAATGCCCGCCATCCAAGAACCAAGCACACCCCTACTCCCGCACACATTCCAGCCCTGGCCCAAAGTGTGTCCCTTACCCTTATATTCCTGTGCCAACGGGGTTAGGTTGTACACGCAGCCCAGGTAAGACACCCAAAGGTCTTCAGGCCGGTTATGTTGTGCCACCTCCGTCGGCGTGAAATAGCGTCGCCGGAAATACTCAAAGCCTGGCCCAGCCACTAAGCCTCGGCGCGCCATGACTCTGGCTCTTTTGAACACTGTGTCCCTTAGCACACACTCTCTCCTCAGCACGCACTCACTACAACATGCTTCCCTGCCGTTGAAGGATTAGACGAGTGCGTTTACCCGCTGACATGGAAACCATTGTCCTTTTCCAGCCACCGTCAACTAAGATTCAATAGTGTACGGGCGAGGAGGGATTTAGGCTGTGCGTGCTCACGGGAAATGTAGTCTGATTCTAGTGTCGGGCACATAAGTATTTAGTTTCAGGGGAAAACGAACAGTTTTAATTCAGGGGCCTAGGATACATGGGATAGCTAGGAGAAATTATCTCCTACGATATCAAAATAAGGTGGGGCTGTCAGGATAAAAGACGATATCATCGATAAATTTCAGTATTTGTAAAGGATGCGTAAGAAACTACAGGTAAACCTGTCGCGATATTTTAAAACGTCCGCTGTAATAGGCTTCATTGAATCACAGTAGAAAATCGCGAGATCCCTGCTATTGCCCAAGAGACTAGAAGGAGTGATCTCGCGAAAAGAAAGAAGTCGGCAGGGCTCGCGAGATCTCAGAACACCCGACCCGAAAGGTTCTCAGGAAGTTCAAACGACCAAGAGGAAGGCCCCTGGGCAAATGGCTGGAGCTGGGCCGACCATGCTACTACGAGAGGAGAATGGCTGTTGCAGTCGGCGTCAAAGCAGCTCCAGCGCCGGGGTTAGCGCGGGCTCGGGTTCAGAGTCGAACACCAAGATGGGGGTTCGAGGGGAAACTGCAGCTCCCGGCAGCCTCTGGGCTTCGTTGAGTGCCCCGCGGGCTGCCGGGAGCTGTGGTTCCGACGGGGGCTGGTCAGGCAGCCCTGGCCTCGCGATCTGAGTGTGTGTCCTGCCCTGTGCAGGACTCGGACGGGGATCATGAGGATTCTCCGGCTGCGCGTGCCCGGCAGCAACTGGAGGCTCTTCTCAACAAGACTATGCGTATTCGCATGACAGATGGGCGGACACTAGTCGGCTGCTTCCTCTGCACCGACCGCGACTGCAATGTCATTCTGGGCTCGGCGCAAGAGTTCCTCAAGCCGACGGGTCAGTGCCCAGGGGATGCACATCCGAGAACGTGACATTTCCCCTCAGGGCCTGGCTGTACCCCTTGTTTTCTGGGGTTGGTTTTGGTGGTGCAGAAGGGTGGGATCGATACTGGCTTGTTTCACTGATGCTTTGACCCTTCTTTCCAGATTCCTTCTCTGCCGGGGAACCCCGTGTGCTGGGTCTGGCCATGGTACCGGGACACCACATCGTTTCTATTGAGGTGCAGAGGGAGAGCCTGGCAGGGCCCCCATATCTCTGATCACATCGCGCATGTCTTTGAGAGTTCATTAAATCTCTGACTTAAGTGTCTTATTTGTGTGTAAACTGGAAGCCAGGGCAGGGATAGCACACCTTACCCCTAAAGGAAAGAGTTTATCATTCTCAGCCTTCCTCCTCCAACCTAATGTTCTGGAGTGCCAGAGCTTCTCTCTAGAGGGTGGGGATAGGCTGAGCTGTAGACCAACAGGCCCTAGGGTGGGCCCCTGCATCTTCCCTCCCAGCTGCTGATCCAGAATTGTGGCCTGAGGGGGTGTCATCCTGCTCCCGGAAGGCCCATTGTTTCCCACTCCGGCCTGGCAATGCTGAGTTCCTCTAGGCTGAGGTCAGAGAACGGGCTTGGGTTCCCAAGGGGAGCTGGGTAGGCAGCTGAAACAGAGCTCCCTCCAGGCTATTGATGGGGAGGTGACACAGAGGTCCAGAACAGAACTCTGGTGCCTGACCAGGAAGAACTGACTAACGCGATAAGGAAAGGCCAGAAGGATGAAGGATGCCCCAGCCTGTGCCTTTGTACTCTGGGGATGTACCCTGGGGAACTCGTTTCCTGCCCCTGGGCATAGGGCAGGAATGATGATATTTGTGCCACCCCTCTGTTCATGAAGCATATTCAGTTCAAAAATCCTTTATTGATGTGTGATCACATCTTCCCTTCCAGCTCTGTCCTTCAGAGTGGTAAATACAAGTTGCCCTATTCATGTTAAGGGAGGGGAGTGGGTATAGGTGTGCAGGGTCCAGCCCAGAGAGTCAGGATTGGATGTGAATAAGAAGAAAGTGGGATTTCTGAGGGCATGGGAATTTTCACCACTATTGGGTTCACAGAGGCTGCTGTTCCCCAAAGGGATGCTAGGACCCAGTTAAGGCAAGGATGGAGCAAGGCAGAAGATCCCTGGCTTCATTTCAAGTCCTTGGGCAGACAGGAAGGGAGGGCAAACATTGAGGTTCTTGAAGTGAGGCTCCTCAGACCCAGACTTTTCCTGGTGTGGGAAGAGCCTGGGACCCTGGTGAAGCCCGGGTTTGCCTGGGCTGCTGGGTGCCCTGGCGCCGACGATAGAGGGCTCGGCTGTAAGGCACTAGGCAGTCGGCCAGGCGGAGGCGGAGGCAGAGGCGGCGGTAGCTGGCCAGGGCAAGCACAAGCAGTGGCACGAGGAGTAGGAATCCGGTGACCAGCAGGGCCGTGAAGCCCGGGTCCCTCAGGTGTGCAGTGCAAGGGGGTGCCTGGGAGCGCAGGAACTGTGGGAGAAGAAGAGCAGTCAGGCCAGGCCTACCTGGGCCACGTTGCCCAGGATAAGAACAACCCAGAAGGGGAGAATTGGTGGCCTGCAGACACCACCGCCAGCATCACTGTAAGGAAAACCAGCCCATATGCACACCCTGGGGTGTATGCTCACCTGGGAGTGGCAGAGAAAGCCAAAGCCCAGCATGGTGACAGCAGGTAGCAAGATGGTCCCCAGTACCAGCGCCAGCAGAAGAAGATTGAAGGCAGCCACCAGGAGATTCTGAGCTGTTACCAGCACAGCGCAGGCCCAGCAATCCAAGGGATCTCGGGGTTCTGGGCCGCTGCTGAGAACGGATCGCTGCGCACCAGGGACATCCGCCATGGCCTGGCTGGCTCCCGCCCGCCGGGGCTGCGGGCCTTTTAGCCTTCTTTCCTGCCCCTCCCCCTGGCCCACCCCTTCCCCCCCCATCCTGGAATGTAGCTCTAGGATTAGACACCCCCATCCCAAGGAGCAACCAGAGAGCTCTAGACATTCCACAGGCGCCTCTTGGGGAGGGGCTCACTCTTGCTAGGGTCTGCCCTGTGAGTCCCCATCAATCACCGTCTTGCAGCCCTCCCCCCGTACTCTGCCCTGCTATCACCACCAGCACGTTATCAAAACGTTTTTCTGCTTTTATTTTCAATATTAATATTCTCACACAAAAATCACCAAAAATAGGGGTAGGATTGGGAAGACCTCTCTGCCCCTGGGGCAGAGAGACAGTGCAGTGCGAAGGGGGCAAGACTGTAAACCCCCCACCTCCGCAGC